AGTGAAAAAGAAATATCACATGTTTTCACTTATTGGAGGGAGCTAAAGGTGAATGAATCAAAAATACATTTTTAACACCACTTCCCTATGAGCCCTTTCCTGGCCTCCCAGAACCAAACATAATTTCTTCTTCCTCTGTTCAAGCTGCAAACTCTCTGATACTTTCTCAATCTATTGACCTTACTCTATTTAGTGTCATAATCATTCGCATATTAGTCACACAAATCCTCTTTTCTTACCAGACCATGCATTTCTGGAGGGCAGGAAGAAAACTACTCTGACTAAGGTCATGTATTGAGAACCAGCCACAGAAGAAGGGCTTTCCATCCGCCTTGCATTTCTTCACCATGAGTCCATGCACAGTAGGTATTATGTTAACCATTTTGCAGATGAAGAAACTAAAAATAACTTGCATGAGTAAAACTCAAAAAAGGTTAACTGAGTATGTGAGGTTCTGGTAAGTGGCAGAATTTGAACACAGGCCTGTTGGATTCTGGAGTTTGTGTTCTGAATCACAATACTACAACTTTCCATTTGGGTAGTCTCATCCCCTGTGCCTTGATTATAGAAGGTGCTCAAGACAGTTTAGATAATGGGAACAGACAGAGGCTAAGAATATAGTAACATACAGCAGTCGCCATGTGGGCAAGTCCTCAGGGACAAAAGGAAAAGCATGGATTTGTGGTCACCAGGGCTTGGAAACCTTCCCGCTCAACCATTTGCTACCAGAGACTGGGGAGACAAGGGAGGTTGAGTCTCTGTGAAGCTCCTTCACTCACACATCATAGTTATGACCACTAGCAGCAGCCAGCACATGGCCAACCTTAGGAGACCTTCCCCCAGCGCTGGTGGCCAAGGGGGCTTGCACTCACCCGCAGGGTCGTGATGGTGGCAGGATCCCGGAGCCGGCCCTCTTCATCTTTCAGATTGTAGCCTTCGGGCCTCTTGTCACGCTCACTGACTTTCCACAGCTTCACAGTTTTATCTGTGGAGGGTGACCA